TATTATTGTTATTATTATCATGGTCCTGCGAAGCACATTCAAGTTCCACATTGTTTTGTAACCGTTTCTTTAAGGCTATTGTTGTACCACTCACACTCTCTTCATTTTCCTCCAGTGTATCTTCATTCTCTTGCAGTTTTCGCTGTTTTTGTTTAGATCTCTTTTTAATGGGGCTCTGCGAAGTAAATTCAAATCTCCCATTTCCTTCCAATGTTTTCTCTGAGATTATTCTTCTACCATCCACACTCTCTTCGTTAAAATTTTCTTCCAGTGTATCTTCATCTTCCAGTATTCGACATTTTCGATCAGATCTCTTCTTTTTAACGGGGCTCTGTGAAGTCAATTCAAATTTCCCATTTCCTTCTAATATTTGCTCTGAGATTATTCTTCTATCATCCACACTCTCTTCATTAACATTTTCTTCCAGTGTATCTCCATTCTCTTGTAGTTTTCGCTGTTTTTGTTCAGATCTCTTTTTAACGGGGCTCTGTGAGGTAAATTCAAGTCTTCCATTTCCCTCCGTTGTGTTCTCAGAGATTATTCTTCTATCATCCACTCTCTCTTCATTAACATTTTCTTCTAGTGTATCTTCACTTTCTCGTAGTTTTCGTTGTTTTTCCTCAGATCTCTTTTTAACGGGGCTCTGTGAAGTAAATTCATTTTCCACATTTCCTTCCGTTGTGTTCTCAGAGATTATTCTCCTATCACCCACACCCTCTTCATTAACACTTTCCACTAGTGTTTCTCTATTCTGTACCAGTTTTCGCTGTCTCTTTTTCATGGGGCTCTTTGAAGTAAATTCAGGTTCCACTTTTCCTTCCATTGTTTTCTTTGAGGTCACTCTAGTATCACTCACACTCTCTTCATTAACACTTTCCTCCAGTGTACCTTCATCTTCCAGTTTTCGACGGTTTTGATCAGATCTCTTCTTTTTAATGGGGCTCTGTGTAATGAATTTAAGTTCCACATTTCCTTCTAATGTTTCCTCCGAGATTACTCTTCTGTCATCCACACTTTCTTCATTAACATTTTCCACAAGTGTTTCTCTATTCTGTTCCTGTTTTCGCTGTTCTTGTTCAGATCTCTTGTTAATGGGGCTCTGTGAGGTAAATTCAAGTTCCACATTTTCCTCCATTGTTTTCTCTGAGATTATTCTTCTATCACTCACACTTTCTTGATCATCATTTTCCACCAGTGTATCTTCGTTCTCTTCCAGTTTTCGTTGTGTTTGTTCAGATTTCTTTTTAATGGGGCTCTGTGAATTGAATGTAAGTTCCGCATTTCCTTCCAATGTTTTCTCTGAGAATATTCTTCCATCGCTCACACTCTCCTCATAAACATTTTCCTCCAGTGTACCTTCATTCTCTTGCAGTTTTCGCTGTTTTTGTTCAGATTTCTTTTTAATGATGCTCTGTGAAGTAACTTCATGTTCCACAATTCCTTCTAATATTTGCTTCTCACCCACACTTTCTTGATTAACATTTTCCACCAATTCTTTTTCATTCTCTTCCACTTTTTTCTTTTTCCGGTCAGACCTCTTTTCATTGCAGTCCTCTGAAGTAAATTCCAGTTCCACCTTTTCTTCCATTGCTTTATTTCGCATTGTTATTCTATCACTGACACATTCTCGATTAACATTCTTCTCAAATACATCTTCCTTCCTTTCAAGTGTCCTCTTTTTTCGTTCAGATCTCTTTTTCTTCTTGGTAGGTTTTCCTCCACCGTTCTTTCGTGACTCTTCATCTTCCTGTTCTATCTCTTCATGACTTTCACCCTCTTTTTCTGCGTCACTTGATAGAGGTGGCCTGTTTTCTGCCTTTGATCGTTTACTCTCGTCCGATGTCATGTTACAGTCCGACATTTCAAGACGTTTCATAAAATCCTCGTACTCGTCTCCCGTTTGTTCACTGTCCGCCTCTCCGCCAATCTCTTTCAGCCATGCGATCTGTTCTCCATTTTTAATCAGCGTCAAATACACTGGTGTTGATTCGTTGTTCTCTCCTGAAAAGGAATAACATACATCACAACTTAACACAGTTGTACCTGTACTCTGCCCCACAATCTCAGGGCCGTAGCTGGAAAAAGGCAAACCGAGGCACTTGCCTCAGTCATTTTGTTCGTTTTTGTTGTTTATAGTCGTCATAACCACGCTATAAATACCTTAGAAGGGTATTTAACTAATATGGACATCGCTTCAGTCATATGTTTTTCTGGCTACTACCCTGCATCTATTGTGTCGGTGTATGGAAGACACCGTGGCTAAATAGTAAGTGGGTTGCCCTCTAGACCAAGTCCCCCTGAGCCCAGCACTGACCTGGGTATTCTGTTCTTTTTGCACGACACTTGCATGAGAGCAGTGATTTATCATATTTCTGGACACCGAAAAGAGGGCTGGAAAAAATGATGCGAAAAGAAGTTCTTAATGAGATGTTTGGAAATATGATAAAACACTGTCTCTAGTATTTGATATATTTTCAATCGAAATTTCAAAAATAGAAACATGTAAACTGTTAAATGTTGAATGTTCATAATGTTCGATGCGCTTAGTTGTAGCTGGTTCTCAGGCATGCCATTTAAACTGAAACAAAGAAAGAAAGAAATATTTAAAATAAACATAACAGGCCTAGAAATCCCAGCTGGTTGGAGGCATACCAGTCGGCTATTTACAAGCATGACCGAAGAGTGGAATTAGGGTCTCCCGAGAAAGAACCTCCAGCTTAGTGGTCAGAGCGGGAGTTGAACCTGCGACCTCCGAATTTCAAGTCCGGCGCCCTAACCACTCGGCCTCGCTGCCTCTCGACAGCAAAACAAAGGAGTAAACGGAGAAGTAGCATGGTTAACACTTCAAGATCAGATATTCAAACCTCCGTTACCTGAATGAATGATTACAAAATTATCGATTCTTTTCACATAAAATTACTCAGCTCGAAGTAATACTCTCTTCCTTTTTAGTAGAATTCTACTAGTATACTAATGCAAATGCTGCAATCTGATTGGCTGAGCTACTCGTATACTGTCAGCCATTAGAATGCAGTGGCTGGAGGTCGTCTGCGAAATAACGACGTTTTCTGTTTTGTTTTTTTTTTTTTGGAAGTTACGGAAAACATTTAGATACGAATAGATAATTTAATTCCCGAGAGGACTAAAAAAAGGTCATTCACGGTTTCGTGACTTTAAAAAACTAGACGATGTTGAAAAACCTGATGTGCGCGAGTATACTACAGGAAATTCCAAACTACAATTCAGTCCGCGTGATTTTTTTAAAAGCATTAAATTATACAGTGTACTAAAACAATTGGATTCAAGTAAAAATTCTACTAAAACAATTAGATTATTCTCTCTCGATTTCGACAGCGAATAATCTAATTGTTAATTAGAACTCGCCTTCTGTCTCTTCGTCTGTTTGTGAAATGTCGTTTGCTTCCCTCTCTTGACATGTTTCATCCTCAGAGGCACGATCGTTTGTGTTTCCTACTGACTCAGCATTGTTATCAATCACTGACTCTCGGCTCTCCTCGACGACAGTACCAGAAGCTTCATCCATACAAACAGCACAATACTTGCCTTTTGACAGTTCAATATTAACTGGTCTTTTAGAAGGTGACTTGTCTTTCATCCTCACTGTACTTAATCTAGAAGTCTCATCCATTGCTCTACAAAGTTGTCTTTCTCCTGAGTTGTCACCTGTTTCATGCTCAATGGTATCATCAGTCTTCTGTTTCGATGGCTCTACGGCACCTTTCGATTTCGATGGTGACAAGTTCTTCTTTGACAGTAGATCTTTCTTGGGACTTCTGCGCTGTCTGGGGGGACTTCCCATGTCTTTTTCGCTACTAACTTGTTTCTCAATCTGCTTGTCGATGTTTTGCGTTCGAGACTCCTCAGTTGAGTTTGTACCCCTCGTTGGAATTTCTTTTCCTTTCCAGGATATTTCTCCCTTTTCTTTGCACCCAACTCCCTTTTGGATGTCAAGCTCTGACATGGCAGTTTCACTCGCTGGAGAAGGAATTACATGATCTTCTTCATCGCGACCTTCATCGCCATAAACTTCAGCAACAGTTAAACGAGTTTTGTGTTTATGTGGTGTTACTTCATCACTCTCCTCGTCATCCTCATCATTGTCGCCATCATTATCATTAGCATTCTTCGTGGTCGCGTCCTCAAGTAGAGGCTGACTTGATTGCCTAAGACCTCTCTTTACACCATGACTGTTTTCCCTGTTTCGCGTTAACAGTTCGCCATGATCATCATGCTCATCGCTGGAGCTTTCTTGCGCTAACGTCTCTACGTAGCTCCTTCTTCGTATCTCTGCTCGTCTCGGAAATCTATTGTTAATTCCGTGTTTAGAATCCAAGTGATTCTTTACTGTTCCTGATAACGAATTCACTAGTTTCCGACGTTTATCATTCATTAATTCTGCCCCACTATCAATGTCCCCGTGAATGTATGTGTAGTAGTCTTTTGTTCTAGTGTTTTTCGTTTTCTGTATTCGCTGATTTTTGATGGTGGAAGGGTGGACCTCTTTTTGAAGCACTGCAGAATCACTTTCTTTTACTCGACTGTGCTCACCATTATCCTCACTACCTCTGTTACACACGACATCTCCATGTTGATGCCTCGTATTGATGTTATGACGAGTCTTGTACTGTACAACTTTCCAATTTCTTCCATGCTTACTACAAATAGGTAACTTTTTAATTTTAATCTGACACTTGGGAAGATTCCAAGCTGAAGATGGCAAATCACTGATGTTTGCTGAATGATTTTCTCTGTCGCTCTCTGAGGGGGGAAGGTTGCTTTGCATGCCACGTGATGTCGTACTAAGAACTTCATTCTTTTTACTAGCGCAGTGAACTGCTCTCCTCCTAGATTTACTTGTTGACACGGAAACACATGCATCCCTCTTAGCAGTAACACCCTTTGGTGTGGAAAAAGTTGTTGTCTCGGCAGTTGCTTGTTTACGGTCGTTCAGACTTTCCACCATGCTAACATCTCCGTTATCACTGTCCTTGTCTTCACGATGACTACCATCATCATTACCATCTTCATCATCATCACTTTCACCTTTCCTATTGATTGAAGGCACTCTTTTGCCTACCACTAGCTTAGACTGACCTGAAAAGCATAATGCAAACACCTCTTTACAGAAAAGAACTATCTATTACAGGTACTGCAACAAGAGGTAAGATACTGGAGAAGCACCTACCCCTTACAGTCTCAAGATAAGAATAAGCATTTCTTTATACTTCTTAGTGTGCACAGTTAAAAAATAGACCATTTTAGTGTTTTTCCCTTTCACCGGTGAAAAGATGACGCAGAACAAAGCGTTTCTTTGGGAAAACCAGACTTTGATGCCATACAATTCCGATAAAAAAGGGACAGACTCATGCACAGTGATATCATGCGAACTCTACGTGATGCTGTAAAACTTTTTGCTACATATCTTAACCCTAGGATTTAAATTTTGAATTTCCAGTGACCCTTAAATAACAACTGCCCTAATTAGCATAAGAAACAGAAAAAGTGAAGGATTGTGGTAATTGTAGTCAAATGACGCCATCATCCAAATCGCCTATTGAAAAGAAATCAGATTTTATCGATTGAAATACGTTGTCACTGGATTTCACTTTTTCCTTACAAACACTACATTTGCACCATATTTGCATTACTGGAAAGGATGGGAAAAAAAAAACCAGTAACGAATATTTAATGCTCAGAAAGGTTTTTCCTCATGGCACTTTTAAGCCATAATATTAATGACCGACCAAAAAATACAAAGTTATCTAATAAAGTTTCATTTCAAATCGCAAACTGCATCGAACATTGTTAATTGCAAATCCAGAATTTCAAAAGATGGGAGTGGGGGTCAGGGATGCTAAGATGCCTTTCTTGAAGATGGGGGAGGGCACTGGAGTGATGATTAAAGAGAAGGGCCTTTGGTCCCTTCCTTAGATTCGCCACACCATTTCCCTATTTGAACATCATTAACCAATTAAATTAAATTGACATGCCTTCATGTGCTTCAAATTGATAAATTTATATCAATTTGAAGCACAAAGTTAGTAGCAAAATTTCACATCAGTGAAATGCCCCTTGTAAGAAACAGCATACACGAAGAAACAACATATAGATAGAAATCACCAAAAGGCCAAGACAGCAAAATTTTATATATCACTTTCTATGAGTTAATCTAAAATGTAAATATTACTAATTATTATTTCCTTTCACATCCCAGGCATTTCATTCGACAGTATTCATTAAATAGGGAAAATAGTCCTAGCCATTTCCATACCAGCTCAATCTGGTGACAAAAATAGACTTTAACATTTACTAGGCCAGAGCACACATTAGCCTGTTCATTTAGAATGTTCTATTCTACATGTTGTGTGTATTTGTGTTTATAATAAGTCAAAAAATTCACGCATTTTGATTGGTTCTAACCTCTTACTTATGATCTATTGGCGGATAAACATAACGATGAGATCAACAACATTTTTGTTTTTTTATTATATGAAACAGATAGATTGCATGTTGCCATGTCTGGTCAGTAACAGATCACAGAAGACATCAAAATTTGGTAAGAACATCGGTGGCTCATGGCTTGTGTGCCACATTTTTGTTCTTACCACATTTTGTCTTCATCTGTGATGTATAAACAATGAGAATATCAGCTCAAGATTTATATTGCATGATAGTTGATGAGGGCACAGCCCGAATCAACTATCACGCATAGAAATCAAGAGCGAATAATCTAATTGTTTTAGTATAAATCTGCTAGTCGTTCAAAACTTTATCTAAATCCTCTTCACAGACACTTCGAAAATGCCAAGAAGTAGCTGTCATTTTGTTAATATGGGCACACTGCAAAGCTACTCACTATCTATCACAGAATAGAGTGAGTAGCGTAGCCAATCAGAGAACAGCATTTGAATACTAAATACTGAACAGACACACAACAACATGGAATCAATGTGTAAAATTTACCACAATTTGAATTACCACTTACTAATACATGAAACTCAGGTAAGGTGCCGTGACAAAATACCTAAGAGTGGTCATCTGACCAAGGCAAGAAACTCTCTGCCTTAAAATCAACAGATGAGTGGTATAGACTGAATTTCAATATGTTCTACAGTCCACAGTCCATACCAAGATTTAAAGAGACACCCAAATATATGTGTGATACACATTACTTGCAAAACATTTTGGATGTTAAAATTTCAGCCGTTTTATTTCGGATGTTTAATTTTGGACAAATTTCACACAACAATTCAGGACACTTCGCTACAAATATAGCTTAACTAAATGTACACCTACAAAACATAAATTAGACTGAAAAGGATACAATGTAGTTTTACTGCAGCCTCAAGGTTTTACAAATACACCAACGAGGAAATTAAATAACACACATTTTATCAAGCCGTTGCATTTGTCAAGTCATGTCTCAACTAGAGTTTGCTCCATAAAGCCCGACATAAAGGAAACTAAGAGCTTTGCAGCTACTTCCAAGTTTAAAATTTCAGATGCTTAAAGTTTTGGACACTTACACATTTCGGACACGGTAATATTTTCTGACACTTTTTTTTTGCCGAAATTAAAATCCTACCAATTTTTTTCCAAGGAATGTAGATTCAGCCAAACTCACAAAGACATATGTGCACAAATACACATACTCATAAAGAATCAAAAGACTGACATCTACACGTAGTCAGCCAAACAGTCTCTTCAGTGATAGCTTGCCACTTTTTATCATTACATTGCTAGAATATAAGAGTTGCCAATTACTTTGCTCCTTTCAAAACGTAAGGTTTGTCAAAAAACAACATCAGATCATTCCATGTTCGTATAGAATTTCACAGTGAAAATATTATTATTGCATTACATTTTTATCAACACAAAATACTTGTTCTTACATTTTTCTCAAGACCTCTTGATTCATACCAAGACCATCAATCTCACCTTCAGATTCACTCTCTACTTCCATGGTTCCTTCATCACTCTGACTGTCTTGGGCATCAACATTTGATGACACATCATGAATACTAAGCCATTCTGCGACTTTACATGCTGACATCTCTATGGCTTCCTTCCTTTTCGGACAACAATGTTCTGGCATAGTAAATAAACTCTTGTACTTTGATGCAGACAACATATCCTCATTTGAACCACAAACATTGTCACTTACTGTCCTTTTTGCTGATAGTAACCTATGTTTAGATGTGTTGTTTGTAATTGATGGTTTGTTTCTTGCAGTTTCTGATGTTTGTACTTGCTGTGATCTCAGTTTTTTCACATTTTCTTTCTCTTTCCAACCTGGTACATCAATGGTACAAAGTACAATAAAAACCAACACTCTAGCTTCTTTCAAGTATTTTTCAGGACACTTATACTTTTTTGTTCACAAAAAAGACAAGAATTTAATCCTATTCTGGTAAACTACCTAGGCAAAATGTGATCACAAAGTGATGTTCTTGTCAGATATCTAGTTTTTCCACCTGTGCTGCTTTGTAAAACCTAATGTTAACTATTTCTGCAATTTGTCATTTCCATCATTTGTAAAGGCTGAAAGGTTAAAGGTTTCTTTGAAAAAAAAAATAAAATAAATAGATAAAAAAACACAGATAAATAAATAAACAAAAGGAATTTGCAGTGGTACATCTCACTGGGAGAGATTTTTCCTCCACGGTTTCCAGATCGAATTGGAGTTTATAAGTGTTGGTTTTTGTAGAGGAAGGAGAACTGGTGAACCCATAAAAATCACTTGGAGTAAGGCAACAAACTCAACCCACTTATGATGCTGGGTCCAGGATTGAAATCTGTGCTGCTGCATAGTGGTAGGCGAGTCATCTTAACATAGTGCCATCTCTGCTCTTTAACTCTTCAATTTGTTTAGCTCCTGGTTATTTGTCCATTTTTGTTACTGACAATTCTACCTACACCTAGACTGACTGAAAATATTCAACACTACTCTAACATTAATTTGGTCTGTCTCGCTGCCTACCTCCGACAAGCTAGTTTGGATCAATCCATCATCATAATGAAGTTTGTTTGCATGCATAAATGTATCTTTGAGCTGTAGGTAGCACTGGAATAAGTAAACACTTTCCTAGGAGGACAATGAACAGCTTTCCAACAATAATATTGCTATGTATCACCATTTAAATTTAAATCATTCCCTATCACTTCTATTGCACAGTATTTTCATTGACAGCTGCAGCACTAGCTTTGAAAAGTAGATTGTGGAAAGTCTTGGAGAAATATTTGGAAAATTCTAAGGTGGATAATTAGCCAAAAGTATACATACATAGGAGGCTCTTGACTCAATGAAAAGCTTGAAAACTTTGGAAAATGAGACAAAAGGTAAAGAAGTCTCTTTGGAAAGTTTCACGAAAATCTTTGGATTCTGCTCTTGGAATGATATGCCTGGAAAGTAGCTGGACTTTTCCTAAAGAGCTAAGTTTATGTCCAGCAATCTATCAACACACCAAAAGCAACAATTACATGCACCAGTACATTTTACTTTTTTTTACCTCAACTATGTATGATTCAGATTTTTCTAGTAAGTGTTTAACTTTCTATAATATATTTTTTTAGCCTGAAATTGTGAACATTATAATTGACTTGACTTGACTTTTATCGGTGATTCCCATAGGGTAATGGGCCAGAAACATTACCATTAATTAATCATGATTGTTATGAACATATACATTAATTAGTAGGAAAGAACAAAAAAACTCATAAGATATGTGACATTGCCGCTAAATAAATTAGATATAAGGCTCAAAAGGCTCTGAAAAGTGTCAAATATTCGCTGGTAATCTAAATGTTTCGCACTTAGCCTTCCTTCAGTAGGTGGAAACCCACTGAAGAAGAGCTAAGCCCGAAACATTTAGATTACCAGCGAATATTTGACTCTTTTAAGAGCCTTTTGAGCCTTAGATCTTAATTATACATTAATTAGCTAGTCTCTTGATCTACACCATACTAATCAGTAGACATATAAACTATGTTACCTGATGAATAACAGATGATTCTACATTCATTTTGAAGAACGTTCCCCACTTTGTATCTGTCTGGCACTATTGATCCTCTCTCATTTTCTACTCTTGATACTTGTCCTCCCCTGAAAAAAACTCATCACATTCAAAACCAAACTATTGATATAAAATTTTATCAGTACCACTGCTGTTTAAATTATAGGAAGGAACAGTACATGTATTAACTGAATGCTGAGAAAATAACAATAAAGTTGTAAAATATAAGAGAAGAGCAAGCATTCAGTACCAGCATTTTCCACTTTCCAGATAAACAAAATAATGTTTGATATGAGGATATGACATCTTTTTGTCTAATTGCTCATGCAGTGACCATGCTAAATCACCTACACAATAGGTCCTATAGATATACAAGATGGTTACTGGCTATTTTTTAACATCTAGGTCGTTGGTTCTGTCTTTGTGTATTGGTACATAAGAACTGATACAAAAGACCAAACAAAAACAGTGGAAATAAAATGATCATTCACTTGTTCACCTGCACGCCACTTCAGAGACCCTCTTGGGGCAAAATTCTTAAACATCAACATGGATGTTGGTAAAACAATGTTCAACGGAAAACATGACCTGTTTTAAAATTCTGACAGCAATGTGAGGAGCTTCCTAAATTGTGACATGGAAGGTTTGATTTTAGACAGGTTATGTTCAAAAGCCCCCAAACAGGGCTCATGCCAGACCTACAATGAAGGTTGGCTCATACTTTCATTTAATTTTATTTAATATACACGTTGTAAGTCAAAATCAAAGTCAGGTTAAAATGATTTTAACCTTGTTTGATTCTCAGTTTCCTTTGTCTTCTAACCCTAATTATTCACGATCCATGAATAATTAGGGTTAAGAGACAAAGGAATTTCATTTTCACCTGAATTTCATTTTGACCTACAACATACACATTAGCTATAATGTATTGTAAAACTGCATTTTACAGTGTGTATGTATTAAATAATATCTCGAAGTAATGAATTGTACATGACCCCATAAGCTTTCGGCTTTTAGACATATCGTGTATAAACAAACCCAGCCTACCTACCTATAACTAAACAGTTCCCACCCAATTTGTGGTCCACCTTTGATTCAGTCATAAATCCCACCAAATAACTCACTTTGTCCTTAACCTTTAATAATCAATTAATTAAACCATAATAAATAGCTGCCTGTTGCGAAACTAAACATAAGACTTAAAGAATGTGTCCTCATGTACCGGTACACAAGGGAATAGCCACTGCACTTTCTTTGTTCAAGAGTCATTGGTTAGCTGTAATAAGCTTTCGTCTTTTGTATCGTTTCTTTTTGTATATGGCACAGAGCGAATCGTTCTATCTGATCAAGATCAGCCTCTCTCGGTGCACATCCCACATAGTACCATTAATTGACAGAATTATAAACAAAATAAACAACCAACCTAGACTCGGGATACACTTCACGTGCAACACTGTCGATTTCTGCACGAAGTTCTCTGATGGTTATTGACTTTGAAACAACTACCTGTTTGCCAGATCACATTAATAGTAAGTCTTCAGTTCATAATTGTATTAATTTCACCTAAAGTTCCAATATTCTTACCAAAAAATCGTATTTCTGATCAAGAAGTACACTGCACACTAGTTCGTCATCCGCCATTTTGTTTCGAAGCGCGTGTATTTTCTTTGAATACCGCTGTCTGTGTTTAACGTAACGTGGCCTTTTTGGTGGGCTTTTCAACTCATTTCGCGCGATTTCGCGCCAAAACTGGGGCGTTCGCGGCTGCTTCTGAACAACTCGTCCATATTCAAAAACAGCTGTAGTCTATAAATTCAACGTCTTTTAATTTTGGTTAAGAACAGTAAATAGAATATGGTCTATCAGGGAGGATAAAGCAAAGGACTCGGACAAGAACAGCATTTAAAGGTAGGATTATGCCTTAAAAAGTTGCGAATTAAAAGTAACCCCCCTCTCTTTCAAATTGCGGATTTAACGGAAGCTAAAACCTGTACATGAACTAGCGCCGATCTATGTTAATAAAATAATGTTTTGAATATAAACTTAAGCTTTAACTTATAGCAGAAAGACTATCAGATGCATGTGATATGCTTCTGCTTATATACAGAGGAAAAGAAAACAACTTTCTGAGATGATGGCATCCAGAACAAAGCCATCTATCAAAATAACTTTCGAAGGGTCGTTACTTTTTGTAATTTTTAAAACGCGTGTAATTGCTACCTTCAAAGGGTCGTCATTTCGCAACTCTTCGATACGACCGAATCTGTTAGCAAACAGTTCGAGGGGGCAAGTACCAAAGGTAAGCCGAGAAACCTATGTGGAGGCTCCCGACTCCAAAACAGGAGCTTCTCAAGCTGGAGAAAGATAAAACGTTAGGGATTTTGCGAGTTCAAGTGTAGAGAACGCAGGAAAAGTTGTCATTTAAGCTTATAAACTAAGCGGTGCTTACAACCTTAACCTGAAAGTATCTCGAAGTCCTCGAACAGGCGCAGCTACGGGCCTGGGGCTAAGTGGGGATGTCGTTTAAGTATTTTATGGAGTTTCTCAATCAAAGATGTGCTTACTGTACGTATGTGAATGGAATATCATGTATTTTTATTTATTTATTTATTTATTTATTTATTTTTTTTTTTATTTATTTATTTATTTATTCATTCATTTAACTTATGCAAGGACGACACCATACCTCTTAAAATATAGATTTAACATTAAGATTAAAAACTAAGCGTTTGAACACTTCTTAGAAGTTGTTGAACGTGAGAGAAAATTTCAACGTTTTCTTCGTTTGATAAACGAGAAGAGCCAAATAACAAGATATCCACTTTTTGAGAGTCCGAAAATCTTAACCATTGCTCGTTAGAGGCAATGCCAACAACGTCAGAAAAAAAATTTCCCCTAAGGGCAGCATACGAAGGGCAATATAAAGGGTAGTATAAAAATAAACGAGCTTTTGTCTCATTATCAGTTCTAACCACATCTACAAATAGATGACAGTTTGACTCCAATCCTACAGAGAAGTTGATGTAGTGCACAGGATCATCGGTAGTCGTAATCTAGCGAGAAATATCTATCAATGGAGTAATCTAAAGGCAAAAGCTAATCACAAATCTTAGCTATAATGAACAGGTAACACTCTCTTAAAATCACATTCTATGGAAGACATATAAAAGGGTTGCCTCTTCTGTCAATTATGGAGTAGCCTATAGCCAGGGTACAGACGTCTACTCTTCCTTTCACGTGGAAAAAAAAAAATGACATTTCACTTGCAGGCTAGACAGGTAAGTAGAAGTCTGAGAACAGGCTAATGATGGGGCGGAGTCTCTCCGTATCATGAAAACTTTGTCCGGAATACCCCCTTGGAGAATAGATTATGTTACGAGCTTTGTGTGACTATCATTTTTCTCTTGTAATTTTTTGGGAAGTTCAACATTTTTATAGACCTAATTTTCGAATTTCGGGATCAAAACTACGAAAAAACGGGAAAAGAAAGTCCAATATTCCTGTAGACCTGGAAACGAGAAAGGAAATTCAAGTTTTAGCGCTTTCGCCGTAATTTCAGTGAATTATATGGTAAGAAAGTAATTGAACTTTCTTGTTCGATCAGTATAATGGGGAATTTAAATTATAATTCCCGTTCGATTTTCACTGGGATTTTTTGCCGTTCGTGGGAAAAACAAACGTGATTCATATACGGTTAACTTTGTGACTGTGCGAGGTTCCTATCCAATTATAATCTTTCTCTTTTCCCTTCCAAAAACCGCGTTGTTTAACGCGGAAACCAAGCATAAGCGGTAGAAGGCGGTGTAACAATATATTTTCGGGGACTGGATTTGACTGAAATCTGGAGATCCTCTCTTCATGTTACCTATCTTGCCGCACGAACTGGATTTGTTTGTGGTAGTTTCGACCTCAACTTCTCGTTCGTACTTCGTAATTAATACCAACTGGTTAGCGTCCCAATAGTGGGAATTCTAACAAGTTAACATTGTACGCAATGTTAGTACAGCGTTATAAAACCAACAACACTTCAATATATTTTTCCCAGGCCTTGCCAGACTTCATTTTCTAGTGTAGGGCAGGCTTTCGAAATCGTTGTAACAAGAGAAAATGGTTGTAAATAATAAGAAAATTTGGTTTCTTACCATATCCGAATGAATACACCAAAATTATTTAACTTCAATGGCGAACCCGCTGAGCAATACCGCAAATTGGTTTTGCAGCCTCCAAGAAGCCACAGTCATGAACTCATCAGATTAACGATACCGGCATTCCCGATGAGGAAACAAACAAACAAACAAACAAACAAACATCAAATATATAACACTGGTTTATATATTTTAATCAGAGTAAGGATATTTACAACATATAATGTCAAGTATGAAGACTGAAGTAAGTTGCCGGGAGTTTCATATAACAAAGACATTTGGCTAACTCGTACCGTGGTTTCCTTGTTAACACCTTTAATAAGTGCGAAGTTCAAATGCAGATAGTTTCTCTACGTGGGGGAAGGATACTCCCTAAATGTTTTTGTGGGGGATGGGGTTGTAAGTCCGCTTTTTAAAACCCTCAAATAGAGCATGATGTGATTTTCCTAAACTTAAGGAAAAAATAATTTCGTGCAGAGAGTGCATTAAACATACCCAATTTCAGATCAAAACGGTAGAAATCGATAATCTTTTTCAGACCAAAATGGCTCAAAAACCATAACATGCCGTAAGCTCTGGCGCTGCACATACCTGTGTATCATGTATAAGGGTGTACCCCCGGGGTTCACATTAGACAGAGCAGACACAAGGTTTATTCATGGGAAAAATTTTGTCAAAAGCTAGACGATATTTTCATCACATGATGTTATCGGCTTTTAAATTTAGTTATTTCTCTAGGCTGTTAAAGCAATTTAACTGATTTAGCGCTGGTAATCTCTAGGTTTGCATATACATGTCAATAGGGCTCACTCTTAGAGTGTCATACGGTGTCGAAAGTTCTCGCGTTCCAGTGAGAATAGAGTAAAAGCATATTTAACGGCCACCCACTAGGGAACACTTTCATCCTTCTGATCTTGTTTTAAATCCATGGATTTTTTTATGGGGTCAGTTCTAGTCTTCAGATCAATTTATGCTAAACTACCATTTCCAATTTCCGAAACGATTGGCCTTTATTTTTCACCATTCTATTTCCCTCACATGAATGAGCATGAGATACAGAGAGGGTTTTAATTAAACCTCAGAAGACAACGATAACAAGATTGGTCGTAGAGAAGCCGATGCGCGCCATGCTTTGTAGTCATGGAGTGTAGTGGGCGCTAATTCTGGTTAATACCACGAAATAAAGGTAATTCAAGCAGGAAACAGAGGATGCGCTTCCCTAACAATAGCCACTTCCTGGGGTCATGCATATCGACAGACGCCGCTTTCTATTGGTCACTTCATCGTAATCTATTATCGAATTTCACCCCTACAATACGTCAAATAACAAATCAGTCAATCGCGCGTTATATATTCTGGCATCATCTTTCGATAGATACATTCAAGCGAACGAGCGAGGTTATACCGGAGAACTCTCCAAATTTCGTCATGTGGAGGTTTCTATGGTTGGCGAATGTCCTTGTTCTTTCACAAAGTGTCCTCCTTTGCGAAGAAGCTCAGAAAAAGTGCGTAAGGGACTTCACGAAATGCGGTGCTATGCTCCTGAAAATTTTTAACGGAGACGTCTGCAAGTCGGCGTTAGGTTACGATGACGATTGGCCGAATGGAATCTCCGGACCGATGGCGAAAACATGTCCACTAACATGCGTAAGCGCCATTATAAACCTCACCGCTACTGCTGCTGGAAAGCAAATGGAAACCTGCGACTGTGATAGAGACGCATCGTGTCTTACAATCAGGGCGCGCTTGCAGCGATGTTTACTTAGCAGCCAAGGGAATTATACTTTCGTTAGCTGTACCGCAGCAAGGAAACGCTGCAACGAAGACAAAAGATGTAAAGCAATACAACAAAGATTTCTACGGCGCTGTTCGTCTTTAATTTCAGGCGTGGAATGCACTCAGGATTGTAAAAGCAGCCAAGACGAATTACTGGGCTCGGTGCTGGGAAAAGCGCTAAACGACTGCGAGTGTGACGGCAGAGAGGAACCGTATTGCCGTGGTATTCGTGCAAATTACGAGGCGCTGTGTAAAGGGACGCGAGGTCCTCGAAGGCCAGTTTACCCCTCGCCTACAGAACAAACAGTCATGAGAGCTCAACATGATAACCAAAATAGCAGAGCCAATTCACAGTTTGAACTTCCTGTGTGGATTTTCTATGCAGCAATCATGGCACACATATCCGTGTTTCTCAATCTATAGCCGTTTTTGTTTATTTTCAGAGTGACGTTTGTGGGTTCTTATAACCCAGACTTTGAACAATACCCGTTCGTTAGAAAATGAAGAAATTTGACCGTTCATTTGTTCATTCGTGAGTTTTAATAACTGCAAGCCTCATTCAGTCATGTTATCCGTTTTTACTCGTACACAGCATTGTCAGTACCGCATGCTTACAAAATCTCCAACGGAAGAATTGCACAAAACTATTCATTCTGTATAGAGAATTGTCCGGAAAGGGATTATTTTTAGGGCTATTGATAATTTAGTTAAATCAACTTAATCGAACGTTTATATAACAGTCTGAAATTTGCATATTTCATTTTGTCGAGTATGCCGGCTTAAAATCTGTCCCTGAACCATCGAAAAACTTCCTTCTGAAGCCAAACCTATGAAAGAGAGTTGATTAGAGCAGCCATTTGACTCTCGTTGTTAGACACTTTAGCGGGAGATACATTCGAGCGCGCTGATAGCATCGATTGTTTGAGTCAATTTGTCCTTGGGGTAATCACTACCCGACAACAGTTTGACAACCAGGTTTGTTGCGTTTTTGTTTTTTACAGCCGGAATTATTGGCAATAAGTAGTGCATTAGAGAATGCTTGAAATAGCATCATTATTGTTATAATCTTGGGGTCGTCTAAACCATTATCTTTTCATAGTGGGGTCACTCTATATATTGGCATTTACGTCGGCTAATCGAGCACCAAGAGGGCTTCATATCATGGATTAGCACCCGATAATACCGTCAGATATTTTCCCGTGTACTCGTCTTGTTTCTACGTTTAGGTTTAAGGAATGCCACTTGGGACACATGATAAAACACGTATAAAACGACATCAACACTAAGAAATAGGAATTGCTTATGTTCGGCCCTTGATTTTCTTAAGCCTCGCTTGAGATTTCAAATTTCTAACCTTTTCCTTTGTTTCCGTATATTTAATCGTATTATGTATATAATAATTAACTTGAGACAAAAATCAAATATCTCAGAAAAGTCATCTTAACAATATTATTCCTTTTTTTCTTGTAATTTATCTACCTCCTAAGCTAAGTTAGTTCGCCATGTCTACTGTAGTCCAGAGGTTCTTTCTATCCTGAAATGAGAAAGCCATGGTGAGGCGAAGCGCAGCTTAAATCTGATCGACAAAGGGGCACGCAGGAAGAAAAGTTCTGAACCGGGGTAGCGTGTTTGCCTACAAGTAAACATACGAGCAATGAAACGAAAAGCGCAATTTCATTGCAAGACAAGCGCGAAGTTCGGACGATTTCCGCGAAAGCCTTCAAATCGAATGAATTGCCCTCAGGAACCCAACCCAAATAGTAGTTGAAATTAATTAAAGATAAGCATCTTAACCTCATTCTGTTACCTCTCCTCGGTGAAGATTTTGTTTTTGTTTTACTTTATTATCGCTTGCTACATTGGGCAAACACAGAGACTCAGTCTTCAGTCAATTAGGTGATCTGAGCGGAAATTAGAGGAGCTGTATTCCTCTAGTGCTGTGCTGTTGTGTCTCAATCGCGCCTTCAAGCTCAGGGCAGGGAAAAATTTAGAGTACAAAAAAAACATTTTACTGATTTCACAGGTGATATTTTCAAGTGTTGATGAAATAATAATCTTTTCCTGATCTCCCGTAAAGAATTAATCCACTGTACTGGAAATTGTACAAGATTTTATCTATCACCCGAGCACGACAGTATTGATTTCCCAGTAGCTCAATTACAAGAATTGTTTGGTTGTGAACTTCGAACTTCATAAACTCTTATATGCAAGGTCCGAACGTTCTCACGCCCGTAACACAAAAGGAAAAAAAATGACCCTGAAGACTGAAAAGTGAGTGAACACAGCAGACTTCGTAATGTGACAAAGTCTTGTGGTTACAGTAAAATAAACAACAGGTATCAAACTAACGGGAAGATTCGAGCTTAGCAAAATGAAGAGAAATTAGAGTGAGGGAGTTTTGGTCAGTTTTTTTTATTTTATTCCAGTTTAACATAGTCTCTATAAGAGGGAGATCAATAGCTTACAACTACCCCTAAATTGCGAATATTTTGGAACGTTCTCCGCAGAGTCGCAATGAGGTTTAGGTTTCCAATCTTTTTTCAGTGGGACAAAGTACAGCCACGCCTAGTTTGTAGTGTCGTGAATTAATGGATTGGGATGCGAGTAACTGTGCACAAACACAGCGTAAATTACCGTTTGATTGCTCAGGGTCATTTTAGAACACTTTATTTTCGCCTTCTGTTGACGCTAACGGTGCCAAAGTAATAGAATGTGGGAAGTAAACGTAAATAAAAATAGCATCTTGCAGCTGACACTCTGGGCCAAGCAACTTTTTTTTATATTAAACCACATAACAAGTTTTCTAAAAAAATCCAAGTAGCTGGCCAATAATTGTCAGCATAACTTGTTTCCAACTTATGACTCTCCTGGAATCCTTAACGCGCCAAGGCGAAGATTTAACATGTTATATCGGGCATGCTAAAGTTTCGAGTTTCCTGCAATGTTTTCAACGTCTGGATGCGATCACGAAAACCTATTGGCGAAGGAATTGCTTGAAATTCTGACAAATGATTCGCCTTGATATCAGAAAAGATACAGCGCATTTTTTTAAGTGTATACAAGTCTTAGAGATAAAGATTTCACCCTATCTTGAAGATCGCTTAACAGTAAACGACAGAATATGCAAACAACGAGACATACGTTTCCGCTATCGAGATTCAATTACAGCCCATTTCATTTACGGCTCTCTTTTCGTAAGGTCGCCCTAATTTGGTGAAAATTTGTCTTGTTACGACATGCCGCGATTTGATGACCGCCAAAAATTGCTATCACTTCCGAGAACCTCAACGCCAAAATTGTGAAAGTCTTCTTGCTGCATGCATTACTAGACTGAACATTGTTCAAGTCTACAACAGGCCGACTAGAAACTAGGACTAAAACGTCGTCCTTTCCAACATTATTTTGCTAGCTTCCGTTCTGAATGATAACCTTAAACATCCATGTGTCATCACGCTCTTTCCATAACAAATATTTCCTTTAGTATTCAAACCGTACCCCCGGGTCGTTTGACTTAAGATCAAAGTATCACCATTGTTGTTTCTCACGTATGTTTTCTTCGTATTCTCGACCTCGACCGTGTTTTATTTCACTTGTTGGTGGCACACACATCAAAATCGTATCCACGTCATTACAAACAACTTAATCGAAAACATGGCACATTAATGTTTCTCAGATACTCCTTAACCATGTAATTCAAACTAAAAAAAATAGGTCAAAAAGAGTTAATTAGATCTAAAAGTATCACTTCAGTTTTCTCTTTTACAGGAAAGAAAACCTGCGTTAGTTTTATCAACTATGCTTGATTATAAACTCTTGAAATGGTTACAGACTTCTTCAATGATCGCCCTCGAAGCAATCTAAGACAAACGACAAACAGTTTTGACACTTGGTTCCTTTTAGCATCCGACACATTTCATCGTTGCGACAAGGCGTACATTCTTGTGATAGTGTCAAACTACAAGACCTTTCACGAATGGGAGGTGAGCTTCATTAGTTGGTCTGTTTTCATACAAACTAGACATTCGGCGCCTTTATAATTTACTATTTACGGTGGATTAACCTGTAGATGGGTTCATAAACACTCCAAAAGGTAACCCGTTGTTGCGTTTTTTTCAGGTTTTAATGGGTTCCCTCAGAGTGAGTATTTGTTGAAAGTGCCAGAAAACAAGAGGGTACTTGAAATTTCATGGCTCAAGCTGTGGAACCCCTTGCTAGATTCTTCGAACCAGTTAATCTGCGAGCAGTGTTTTTCTCTTAATTAGTTTTCTTGCATACTTTCCCATGGGTGAGTAGGACTTAAAAGAACAAAAGGTGATTTCTTGTGCTCCCTCAAAATGGCGATTCTCTAATATTGGGCTTACGACACAACTAACAGTGGACCTTGATGGTATTGGTTTGGTATTTATTGAAAACCCCAGCAACAGAACCTGCGCCTAAAGACAGACTCGAAGTCTGTTTTCAGCAGAACGCTTGAATATCGCGTGATGTCGTGGTCTCTTTTCCACGACGGTCGCGCGCATGCACTGGTTTCCATAGTGATCACCTCCAGTCGTATTTGAATCGATATTTGAATGATTCAAGCTATTTACTAGAAAAAGAACAAAATATTGCATAAGCATCTGCCCCTTTTTTCTCGTTCGGAGACAATAAAGGATGCGTGTTACGATCACGATGAGTAAATACGGCAACTAGACAGTAAAACCAATTAAGTGCGTTCTATCACTGCACGCAATAGACCTTTTATGACTATTTTGAAGACCTTTGGTTTAATCAGCTTAGGAATTCATTTTGATATGTTTGGCTTTGAACTGAATGAGTAATGCTTTTCTCGTCGTTGAAAATGGTCAGATTGTAAGTCACATTTAGTGGTCGTCAAAACTGGCTCATGTCATCTTCACCAAAAATAAAAGTGAAGACTACAAAATGTGTTAGGGTTTTGTGGTTATCTGTGATAGATTTTTAACATCATCATATCGTTCGTTCCACTTGACATTAAAGGTACTCAGTGACGAAATCCTTGTTGAGCCGAGTCCAGATTTCCTTTTCCAAGTTCCACTGTTTAGAATTAAATATTTTTTCTGTGATCATCAGTCGTGATTAAAATCCTTTTCAGTTGTCAACGGTTACATTTCAGGATTTCTGCTCGAAGATTAATGATTGTTTTACAATATTGCATACATGACAAGTTTTCGGTGTTTGGTATCTGATATACAGCGGGCGGGTGACATGTTGGACCTGACCAGGTTATTCCTAAATAGGCTTGAAAGTAAACATCCTACTTATCAAACATTATTTCAAGTATCAAATGTTCTTGGCCTGCATAATGTTCGTCTAGACTCAAAACGTGCCATTGGATATGAACCCTTCTAGCATTCCAAGTCAGTGCTCAAAATATGAATTCTCCCTACTATTTAACAAACATTTCTATTAATGTTAGTTCTGAGACTTGGTAGTCCGATTTTGACTCATCATGATCGCGCTTTAGGTCCTTTGTGTATCTGCCACATGCAGAAATTCAGTTCGGAAATGTTTATGCTTTCACAATGTTTATCACCGTTGTTTGTGTTATATTCTTTGTCAGATGTCTTGTCTGAAACCAGCCATTTCCCAAGCAAAGATAATGTCACGGGAAAAACGAAGCAAACTTGGATATAAAGCTCAAATCCCTAAGGTCCTCTCCCACTTCACAGGCAAATACACGCACTTGCTGAACGAACATCCTACATAACGAAATAAACTTTTGCTACCCATTATTGCGCTTGTCCCTGTTAATCAGCACTGCTTCAATATGTACGGGTGACATAGAAAGAAAGCAGCTGAGGTAACTATAAGAAGTAATTTGTTCCTCAGTCATCGGGACCTCCCTTGGCAAAGGTGGCATACTGAAAACAACAAAGTTTACCGGAACACTACCCTTCGCTCTGTTTCTGGGAGGCAATTTCTATATATCGTCTCTCTTGCGCACAAACGCTAGTTAGTTTAATTGTCACACATTCAAAATAACCTAACTTAGAGGTAGAAAGCAAGAAAGCCAATCTTCCTCTGTAAGTTTATTTCTCTTGCGAAAGTCGAGGATTCCATTTTGGTGCTGCATAATTGCGGTGTTGTTCCTCGGAATAGAAGGTCAAAAAAAGAATTGAATACAATGAATAATACAAAATTAATGACAAATCTATTAGTTAACTTTAATCAGTTCCCTCTGTTAGTTGAAAGGGTGAAGTGCGGCAGACAAAAAGAAGGAAGCACGCGTTAACAAAAGCCCCGCCTTCCAAGAGAAACCAGCCTATGAGCCGGTCGGCGTCTTCTGTGCCGTAAAATATCAAAGGCTATTAATTTAACACTTTGAAACGAACAAATATCACGATAAGAGCTGTTCTTATCGTGAACATCATCTCTGTAAAGCGGTTCAGCTCGGGGTCAGGTCATATTTGTCGATTCAAGTCTGGAATAAAATCGAGAGAATGATAGCGCAAGGGATGAAGTTAAGACTATCGTGTTTGAAAAGAGGCAATGCAGGCTGTACGTGCTTAATCAGTGTTTTAACTGATTCTCCGAAACGCTCGGGCAGGAAGGACTGGCCCCCTAAAACCGCCAAATCCCGGGCGTCAACTTTGTCGATGTCGTATCAAGCCTCTCGTGGTGGTTCTGCGGTTTAACCACTTACCTGTCAGTAATTTGCTAAATTTGGAGTAACGTTGAAATATTACGTCCTTTTCCTCTGTTGTTTATATTTTCGTGGAAGCGAAGGCGATATCTTGTGGTTTTTTTCGATACATTGACATTGACAACTAGTTGCTACACTGGACACTGGATTGATCGTGTGACGGAAGCTCAATCATGTTTTATGTGCATATGTAGCTCTGTAAACAATTTATATTGAACTAACGCTCTCGAACACTTTAAGACGCGGAAGAACATCCCTATCAACAAGGGAATAAACTTTGCGTGGTGTCTTAGAGTTCCTAAGTCTGATGTCTGCTCATGTACTCAATGCATGCATGTATAAATCACAGCAGTTTTGTTATTTAGCAGTTAACACTGATTGGTAAGGTAGTAAAAATCTGCTTCAGGTCAAAGTGTACCACACCGTATAAGCTTAACCCAGTTTCCTGGACGAGAAACTCGTCCGTCGAAGTGTTACGCCCAACATTTATTTGTGATACCCATTCATGCACTTGGGTGGTGGAGAGAGACACTGCGAGAGTAAAGTGTCTTGCCCAACGAAACACTGGACACAATGACCCCGGCCAGGGCCCGAGTCCAGATCGTTCAACCGCCTCACTCCTCAGACTACCTCAGTAAGATTATTTCGGCGATCAAAGATGTAGGAGTTTGACAAAAAGGCTTGTATCCCAGTTTATGCATCAGTCAATTCCAGCAGTGTCCATCCCCCCC